GGGGCCCTGGCCAGCCCGTGGATCGGGCCCTCCGTGCACCCGGCCGCCCGCCGGCCCGCCGCCACCGCCGCCACCTTGTAGTGTCCCGCGAGCCGGGAGGAACCTCGGGATTTCCATGTCCGCGTCGGTGAGGCTCCGCTGGAACCACAGCAGCGGAGGAGGCGCGACCCCGCCCCCTGCCGCGGGCCCGAACACGTTCCTGAAGGGAAAAAAATGTGCAATGCGCAGAAACCGGCCCTATCAGATATTAAAACGTATTTAACGCCACAGCGATTTAAATATTCTGGTACTCACACGAGACAAAACGGGTCTCTGGAACAGAACAGAAAGCCCAGAGGCAGAGCCTGGTATACATAAATAATTTCCACAATTAATATTATTAGATGATCAAGGGAGTAATGGGGAAATGACAGCTTTTTCAGTAAATGGTACTGGTATAGACAGGTATCTATCTGCTAAAGGCAACTTAAGTCCATGCCTCGATGTATCTACCATAAATAAACACTCCCCTAGCCCCTTCTAGTGCTAAGCATGGTGCTTAGTTCTTCCTATGTGCCGAAAACTGCTGAATGAACTGATGGATGAATGGATGACAAAGTTACTGAGAGAATAAACTGCGCTAGCATTTCTACTGAAAACATAGACCCCCCCCCCCAACTTCAACACCTAGAAGAACTGTCTTGAGCAAGGTCCTAGGCGAAATTTGTAATGATTAGAATGAGTAAGAGATGGGGCTAAAACAGATTAGCACTGTTCAGCCTAGATATGCAAAGCCTGGACGATGGAACAATTTATACTGAAATCGAAAACCCCAACCCGCTCCTGGGTTCTCCCTATACAGTGCACAACCAAAACCAACTCTTTGCCCTACCACCTTCAGTTACCCTCGTGGTGAATTTCATGTCCAGTCTCGAAGCACAATGAGCATATTCCTCAGCATACTCTAAATTCTCCAGGGAGTGCGGGTCTCGGGACAGGATGCACCAGTTAAATGTGATAAGGGTAAACCCTAAGTCACTGCAATAGACTCTCCCAAGAAAACCCGCACAGAGGACCTTGTCCAACATCCCTGGGGTGCCTTGCTCCCATTTAAGTGTGGTGGTCCAGTCTCACTGCAATGGACTAGGCCTAACAATCTTATTAATTATGATGACAATCCTCCAATTTGTTTGTCATCAGTGAGTTGGAACTTGATTCAAATATAGGGTAAAATGTCTATAAAGAGAAGGATTTAGGGTGATAACTAGATGATGGATACCTATAGTTTAAATATCGCTGGGTGGTGTAAATGGTTAACGCACTCGGCTGCTAACCGAAAGCTTGGAGGTTTGAGCCCGCCCAGAGGCACCTAGAAAGAAAGGCCTGGTAATCTACTTCTGAAAAAAAATCAGCCATTGAAAATCCTATGCAGCACAGTTCTACTCTGACACACAAGGGGTCGCCATGGGTCGGAACAGACTCTATGGCAACTGGTTTGGGTATTATGGTATAGTTTAAATAATCCATGCTTTTCCCCTCTTTTAATGATAATAGACACTTGTGTCTTGATTAGAAGATCAATTTCTTCATCCATAAAAATTCAAATGTCATCAGAATTGCTTCACTTTTTTCCCTTACATTTCAAAATCTTTTTTTTACACGTCTTAAATATGAGATACAGAAGAAGGCATAAAACATATCTGTACAGTTTAGACAATTATAAAAGCAAACACCTATGTAACCAGGTCCAAGATCAAGAAATGGACCATTGCCAGCCTTCCTGAAGCCCACTGTGTACTCCTCCAAATCACAACCCACTCCCTCCCGTATGGATATAGTCACTATCCTGACTTTGTTGATGATCATTTCAGTGCTTTTCTTTATAGCTTTCTCACTTTTGTATGTATCACTTTTGAATGATTCCCTTTACAGCTTGCTTCTCTTTCAATGATTATTATATTTGTGAGACTCATCCATGTTGTTCACAGTAACTGTAGATCCTTTGTCTCCAGCGTTGAATGTTATTCCATTGCATGATTACAGAAAAATGATTATAGTATGCTTATACCATTCTACAGTGGATGGACCCTAGTGTTGTTTCTAGTTTTTTGACTATAATTATGAACAATGCTGCAATGAACATTTTTGTATACTTCTCATAAGGCACATGTGTAGAAGTCTCTCTAGGGTATAAACCCAAGAATAGAGTCACTGGGGACATAGGGTATGCATGTCTTCCTCTTTATTAGATAATGTCAAATTGTTTTCTATAGTGGTTGTGCCAATTACAATCCCACCAGCGACGTAGAGAGTTCCTGCTGCTCCATATCCTCACCTACACCAAGTATTGACAGAATTTAATTTTTGCCAGTCTGGAGGGTGTGCAATACCCAAGTTAGTATTAAGTTTTAGCATGTTTTCAAGCTTATGGGTCTTTTGGATTTTCTCTTCTATAAAAGGCCAATTGAAATCCAAGTCTTTTTACTCATTTGTTCTATTTTCCATCGTGTACTTATTGATTTATAACGAATGAATGTTCGTAATGAATGAACAAGTCAGTCTTAAAGAAATACAACCAGAATGCACCTTAGAAGCAAGGATGGCGAGACTTTGGCTCGCTGACTTTGGACACATCAGCAGGTAAGACCAATGCTAGCGAGAAGGACATCATGGTTGGTAAAATAGAGCGTCATCAAAAATGAGGGAAATCCTCAATGAGATGGATTGACACGATAGCCGAAACAATGAACTCAAACATATCATGAAGATGGCAAAGGACCGGGCAATGTTTCCTTCCCTTGTACGTAAGGTCACTATGAGTGGGAGTCCACTCGAGGGCAACCCAACAACAACAACTTACTGATTTAATGGGGTCATCATATATTTTAAATACCAGTCCATTGGTGGTTATACGTATGGCCAAAACATTCCATTGTCCTGTTGCTTGTATTTTCATTTGCTTTATGCTATCTTTTGTGAACAGACGATCTTAATTATAATAAAGTCAACTTATCATTCTTTTCCTTATGGTTAGTGTTTTCTATTTAAAAAAAATTGTCCCTACCTTGGGACCCTGAAAATATTCTCTATTTGTCTTCTAAAATATTTACGGTTTTGCCTTTCACAGTTAGGCCTTAATCCACCTGCAATTGATGTATGTGTATGGTGTTGAGTAGGGTTCCTTTTTTTTTTTCTTAATAGAAGTATTCGAGTGCTTTAGTAAACCACATACTGAGTAGTCTGCCCTTTTCTAACTGGTTTGCAGTGGCATATTTGTTATAAATCAAGTATCTACTACTCTCTATTAAGTACCTTGGCTCTATTCATCTGTCTCTGTAATACCACACAGTCTTAAGCACTACGGTTCTGTAGTCAGTTCTGATACTTGATGCAAGGCAATTATACCTTGTTCTTCAAAAATGTTTTGGCTATTTTTGGCCTTTTTCAATTGCATTTAAATTATTAATTTGACATAACAAGTTCAACCACGAGTTTGGTTGGGATTTTAATTAGGATTTTTTCAATTTTGAATCTTCGGTGCATGAATGTGGTTTATCTCTTCTTTTAATAAAATTTTCTTTAATGTGCCCCAACAATATTTTTCCCATAAGAGATAAATAAAAGTTCGGGTACTTCATATTTTGCAAATACTATCTCTGACATTTTTATTTTCTAAGTTTGTTGCTGGTAAATAGCATGTTTAGTATGTTTACCATGTTTGTATGTTGGTTTTGTAACCTACAAACGTCTAAAGTCTCTTATTGAGTGTAATAATTTGTCTGTAAATACTTGTAAGATATTATGTACACAATCACATCATCCGCAAATAATGCCAGTTTTACGTCTCCCTTTTCAAACACTGTATTTCTTTTTCTTGCCTTACGGCACTTGCTGGGACACTGTTGAGTAGAAGTGGTGATACTCGATATCCTTGTCTTTATGCTACTCTCAAAGAGAAAACTTTCAGCGATTCTCTGTTAAGGATGATGTGTGCTATAGACGTTGTGAAGACAGCTGTAGCAGTGTAGATCCAGTCAGGACATAGAAAGTACACAGTGATCTAAATAGGGGAAGTTTAATACAAAGAATTATTAAACTATGATAAAAGTATAATATATTGGACATAAGTGATATACACCAACCAGTTGCTGTCGAGTCTGATTCCAACTCACGGTGACCTTATGTGTGTCAGAGTAGAACTGTGCTCCATAGTGTTTTCAAAAGCTGTCTTTTCAGAAATAGATTGCCAGGCCTTTCTTCCAATGTGCCTCTGGGTGGACTCAAACTGCCAAACTTTCTGTTAGCAGCTGAGTATGTTAACTGTTTGCACCACATAGGATATAAGAAAACTCTACATGGTACCCTAGGGCTGGGGGAGAGTACCCAAGGAAAGATAAACTTGGAAGAGGGCCCCCTTCCCAACGCTGGGGTTCAAACCTTACTGGAGAAAATGTAAAATGGTAGAGAAGTTTGCTGGTTTGCTGTAACCAGAGCTGGTCTACAGTTGCAGGGCAAAAAGGAAGCAACCCTGCGGAGCAAAGTGGCATTGTCAACCCACAACTGGTGGCCAGTGTGTGGACATACAGAGGGGTTAGGGGGGTGCTCGTGCAGTATGAGGCCTGGAGCACACAGTGTCCCTGTGCTCAATGTCAGGAGGGCTTCAGCGTTGGGAGGGCTGCAGAGATGAGAGGATTACAGGAGATGAACCTGGTAATAGGGGAGGGGGAAGCAAAGGACCAGAGGGAATCAGTGGGCATCAGGCTTGGAGCACAGAATGTTCTCAGGCTGCAGGAAGGTGATCAGTAGGTCATACAAGGACTGTAAGTTCACCGTGGGATGGTTGTTCTAGACGCATGCGCGGGACAGAGCACTCCGCATGTACTCACACCCAGACTACAGACCCACCTTTCTACAGCCAGAAATCACAGGAGATCCACTTCCTCCTTCAGTGTCCCTACAGCACCCTCTACTGGGAATGCATAATATTGTGCTCATTTTAACCCTTTCATGGGTAAATTTTTTTTGGAATTTTTGGTGATGCCATGTTTTTTCCACTAATGGAATGGTTGTTGAATCATTGTTTGATGGTAGCTTTTTATTATTTGAAAAACTGGGGTGCCAATTGCAAGCAGGGCATATCAGTCCCATGTTCCATGACGCACATCACACACGAGGGACATATCTGTCCCATGGCGCATCACATTTCCTGGTTACACTTGAGCCATGAAAAATCTTACTCAATTTTCCCAAAATACACAAAATACTAAATAAGCATCTCACTTGCTTCACATAATTGTTATCAGTTTGATTTAGAGTGGGCCACATCAGTACTACGCTCCATGAAGCTCATCACACTCGTGGGACATATTGGTCCCACGGCCCAGGAAGTGCGTCACAAACTGTTTTCACCCCAAAAGTAATTCATTTGCTTGAATATTTTTGAATGCCAGTAACCATACCTTCCTAATAATATGAAGGAAATAGTAAACACACTTGCAAGCCTTGTCTCACTGTACAGAAGCCAAAAGACATAAAAGTTTCACACAACCACTCTTCTAGGAAACATCCCGTCTCAGGAATGGCTCTCAGCACTCAAATGTGGTGTGGACCAACTTCCTTCTTTTTTAGCCAGTGGCACCAGTATCTGCCTCAACACCAGAACTTGCTAAAGTGGCTCAAATGCTTGCCAATAAACCTCCAGGGGTGGCAACATGTAACATGGGCATATATACCCCATGGTCCCTGAGAGGAGAAATGCTTAAAGGAATTCATCCATTATCAGAGAGCATATATTGAAGAGTGACTTTGGAGCTGAGAGGCAATAAAATGATAACTGACTTTGTATCCTTTATTAGGTTATAGGAGTTCCCTTCTATTCTTAGTCTGTGTGAGTAGTACCCACTACAGGAGATGGCTTCCCAGGGTTATTGCTGTTAGCTCACACAAGAGAGACCGTCTACCTACCATCCTGTTGTTCCTCTGGTAAACTAATGATTAAAGCAGCAGTTCTAACTGGTTTAGGAGTTTTAATAGACTGCTTAGGATTCTTGGTGGGTCCAGGGTTCCTTGGCCTGAACTGAGTTTGCTG